AGTAATATATTTCCTCACTCTCCGTATCAAACATGACTGGATCTAGGATATCCATGCCTAACATCTAGTATGTTACTTCTGAAACACTTTACCGAATTCAGGTGCACTTATTTTGTAATGAAAGCTAATTTCATAGGTTATTCATTATGTAAATTTCAAAAAGATATATAAATTAGGCCACAAAATGTTTATTCTGATGAATAGCATCTTATTCTTCCATTTTCATAAAGCATTGGATAACAAAATAATCGCCAAAGACGATCAAATCGAGGCAAGTGTAAAATGAGTTTCTGGCCTAACATCAACATGACAAGTACAGTTTTCATAACCGCACAGTGATAATCACCTATAAATTTAAGTTGTGGGTTGCTTAAAGAGTGTAAGGTATGCAAAGTTCCTTTGCAATAAAATACACTTGAACCGTCTGCAAAAGTGTAGTATCAGTTTACATGTTAAACCCATATACTTTATTCTAGCTTCTGGCCAAGCCAATTCACCTATACATTGAGTCACATTTTGATCTTGTTAATTATTCGCTTATTAACCTTGACTATATATTTTTATATGAGCGTATATGTGTACCCTTCGTATCCTATTCATCATATGTCTGTCATTCATTTTTGTCTGATTATAAATATTGAGTAATGCTTGCTTATAGCGAGTTGGCTTCCCAGCCATCTCCACAATGCATCATTTTCGCTTCGTTCGCTTTTATTCTCTCCATCACCCTGATCAGATCAATGAGTGTAGAAAATATTCGCATTCTAAATCCATTTTCGCATTTGACGTATTTAACTCCGTTGTTCACCAACGCGGAATAAGTCATTTATTATATACAAGGATAGACGTACGTATATTTTGACAACAATCATTCATACGATCAAAAAGGAATCAGATTTACGTCGCAACAAAAGTACTTTAGAATGTAATGTTCAATAAATCCTTATTCATCTGTGATTAGAAATTTGGTAGTTTTCAGAACATGGTATTCTGATTAAAACAGCGATATAATTGTCATAATTATTACTATTTAATAAAACTAAGTCTTATTTAATGTAGTTTTTTAGGTAGTCTGTTTTTCAAAGTTTCTAAGTGAAAAAAATGGATTCACTTAATATTTTCTTCAAACATTTCACTGTTTCTGTTGGTTATAAATAAATAGTATCAAATAATAAGTTATGTGACGCATGTCTGTTTTAACTAAACATCAAAATGACATTCAATATAATATAATTATAATATGTAAGCCATTCTTTAAAGATTATGGGCCAAATTTTATTGGCAGTTGTCAGGTCAAATAATTTAGAAGTATATCTGTTTTTTGAGATGTTTTCAAACTAGCTAATTTCTACAGGAATTTGTGATATCAGAGGCGAGATTAAATTTCTATGGAATTATCAATTCTTTAGAGATCACAATCACACATTTTAGACGAGTGTCAAAGGACGTTAAATGTAGACCTGAGATCCTGACAATAGTACACAAATAATCAAACTCATGAATTATCGTTACCAGATTATGAAGAATTGGTGAAGGCATTATGAATTCCATCGAAAAAAAGATTTCAAAATTTGATGTACATTACCGGTAAAAGTACTTTACTACTCTGTAGAATTAAAATTTTATGAAGAAATTCGTTTCAGGTTATTCGTCAATAAATATGGAAGGAATGAATAGTATTTTAGCTCACTGTGCAATTAGACATCAAAACTGATATTGTAGGAGTTCAATAAGCTACTGATCATTTCTGTTTATTGACACATCATTTGTATATGTTGCAGATGTCTAATTACCGCTTATTTCAGTAAAGGGCTAATTACGAAAAATAAATGTCAGATAAGATAAATTAAAGTATAAAAAGATGACAGATGCTTTAAAACTTGACCTTAAATATGAATATTAAATTCTCAGTTTCACACAGGCTTCACAACATTATATTCAAAACGCGTATATATCAATACACATGCACGTCCTAGTGATTGCTATTGGAAATTTAAAACATATTGTACACTGAAAACTATATACTGCATAGCCATTTGCTACAGATTTTCCGTACTTTTATTTTATCAGCCCATTAATGAAGTTCCTATCTGGGACAAATTCATGAAAGATTCTCTTTCTTGCACATTAGCACTGAATGGGACGTCCTCAGAACTATACCATTCGCCTATCAAGTAACTCAAACTATGTATTCATTTGTAAGACCGCAGAAGTTATGTTATAAATTTAAAGTCTGGAATGCTTCACAAAATGGTCTGCGAATGAGATCGAAATCTAATATACTCTTAAATTACATGACAAATTTATATTGAATCGAACAGGTTTTTATAAATTCTAACATCTAGGATAAAATTCTAAAATGACAACTGGAGCTTAATACAGCTAAATGTGGATGGTTATGCTTCGGTGATACATCACTCAACCTCGATCTTACCATAAATGGTGAAGTGTTATCTAGGTTACACACAGTAGTAGATCTAGGACTTAGGTACTCTGACGACTTGTCGTTTACTGAACAGATAATGAAACAAACGTCCAAGTCTCAACGCCTTATAGGTTACATAACTCGAAACCTTCATAACAGCGAATCTCGTATTCTAGTGTACAAAGTCTGTGTTCGACCACTCCTCAAATACTGCGCGTTTCTCCTTAGTAGCACGCGCATAAGGGATAAATTAAGACTGGAATCAGTACAGAGACGATTTACACTTCATACTCTTGGAACTGATAGTGTCTTGACATATAATTCGAGGTGTAGTAAACTAGGGTTTGACCCTTTACGGAAGAGGAAACTCAAACTTAACCTTATATTTTTTTTAAAATACTTAACAAACTATCCTTCACATCCAACAAGGCGATTCAATATGCTGAAGCTTCACATTACGGCATTCGTAACTCCTTGTCTTTAGAGAAACAAACATATTCTAGATCTTCTCTCTATATGAATTACTTTACCTGTAAGTTTTCTAGGCTCTGGAATAATCTACCACAAACTATCCGTACGTTAAACTCTCTCTCATTGTTTGTTCGCTCCATTAATGTCTATTGCTCCTCTGAAAATGCATTAAATGCTCTAGCGCCTGTAAGTGTATCTTACTCCACAAGTGAGATTATCGGAACTTTAAATGTTTAACCTCTTACTTGCTATCATTGTTCTGTTGTTCCGTGCTCTTTGCTTTTATCTTACTTTCTCTAGTTGTAGAAAATTATCAATAACTCACTCTGGCACTGGAAATAACCTTACAGAACAACGTTCATAAATCATCAGGCTATCCACTTAAGAAAAAATGAAAAGTTCCCTGGTGTTGCATTGGCCTGCCGTGATATATGTCATATATAAACTACTTATCAATTACTAAACCAGCAAACATAAAACTTTCTTATATTTCATGTTTGTTCTCTACATTAAATGTTGCTTTTTATATCAATCTGATCATGCCTGTAAACTGATGTGAATTCTGTAAATATTATTTTCAGAATACATTATTATTATTCTAAACCAACGTGTTTGTAAATTTCAGGCATTTTGAATGTTGTCATAATTACCTTCAGTCAATAACGGAAGTCAATTAGTTAGTTAAAACAAAATGACTGAAAACGTATGTGAAGTTGACTTAAACGATTGCATAAGACCCTTTTTGTTGGGAATAATGATATTAAAAGGAATTTAAATTACAATATTTTCAAAGTTGTGACCATAAAATGCAATGGCAAGTAAACCCATCTAGCTGCTCAAGAGATTATGATTAATCCAGAAGAATTCATGTCAGAAAAATGACTACTGCTGTAACCCCTCATAATGAAACGTATTTGGCAGATACGGCTAATCACTAGTGCTAGATATATAGAGCACAATACACCAATCAGTAGCAACAACTATTCTGGAAATATCAGAGGCCATTAATTTCCATTTTGTCTCTCTCACCGAAGCGTTCAACCAACAGAGCAACTCAGAAAATCTTACAATCTAGTGTTTAGCTAATCAAAGTCTACAATGTGTATATAAAAAAGTAGTTGCTTCAATAATTTTCAAGTTATTAATAATGCGACACACAATCGTCGTAGAACGTCCATTAACTAACCATTTATGACCATACTTACTTACTTACTTACGCCTGTTACTCCCAATGGAGCATAGGCTGCCGACCAGCTATCTTCAACCCACTCTGTCCTGGGCCTTCTTTTCTAGTTCTATCCAGTTCTTGTTCATTCTTCTCATGTCTGTCTCTATTTCTCGGAGTAATGTGTTCTTTGGTCTTCCTCTTCTCCTTTGATCTTCAGGATTCCATGTGAGGGCTTGTCTTGCGACACAATTGGGTGATTTCCTCAAAGTGTGCCCAATCCACTTCCAGCGCTTCTTCCTGATTTCTTCCTCCGCTGGAATCTGGTTTGTTGTCTCCCACAGTAGAATGTTGCTGATAGCGTCTGACCAACGGATCCGAAATATCTTGCGTAGACAGCTGTTAATAAACACTTGTACCTTCTGGTTAATGGCTTTCGTAGTTCTCCACGTCTCCGCCCCATAAAGAAGAACTGTCTTGACATTTCTATTGAAAATTCTAACCTTGGTGTTGGTTGACAATTGTTTTGAGCTCCAGATGTTTTTCAGTTGTAAGTATGCTGCTCTTGCTTTGCCGATCCTCGCTCTCACATCTGCATCTGATCCACCGTGTTCATCAATGATGCTGCCCAGATATGTAAAGGTTTCCACATCCTCCAAAGCTTCTCCATCAAGTGTAATTTGATTGGTGCATATTGTATTGTATCGGAGAGTCTTGCTTTTCCCTTTGTTTATATTGAGACCTACTGCTGCTGAGGCTGCTGCTACACTGGTCGTTTTCTCCTGCATTTGTTGTTGCGTTTGTGATAGAAGAGCCAGATCATCCGCGAAGTCTAAATCGTCAAGCTGCATCCTGCCTGTCCACTGTATCCCGTGCATTCCTCCAGATGTTGACGTCGTCATGATCCAGTCGATGACCAGGAGAAAGAGAAAGGGTGAGAGTAAGCAACCTTGCCTAACACCGCTCTTTACTTCAAACGAGTCAGTGAGTTGTCCTCTGTGGGTGCATTTATGACCATTCCGAAGAATAAATGTCAGACATTTTGTAGAAAGAAATGAATAATCCGGAAAACAAAATTTGACAGACGTATATTTAAAAAATACTAGGGTAACAATAAATATTTATCAACGTACGTGAATTCTTCAGACGGAATCCAGCTAATGCCCAGGACCAAAGATAATTTCAAATAACATTTTACAAATGATAATTATTTTTTATGTATATTCTGAAAACAATTACAGAATCCATACCAGTATACAGACTATGCAACATTTAAAAAGTAAGGGAACATTGTTCGAAAACATGTGATTCATACATTAATTGAACATTTGTCAAAAAGGTGGTAATTGTGTGAATATAGCGTAATCAGAGGTGATAACATATAAGAGTACAGTTTGAATAACGTCTCAGTATACAGAATAACGGATATCAATTTCGAAAGCAAAGAATTACTTTGATGACCAATGTAAGAAAAACATATGTACTCCAAGAAAGTGGGATAGCTACAATAGCATGAGTCTTTTGGAATGATAAGTGTTGGACGGGACACAGATCAGTATTTTCTTCATAAGAGGACTGAGAAATCTCGTATGAGAAGTGTTATTCCAGTCTCAGCACAGTATAATTACGTTCATCTACAACTAAAAAAGAAAACGAAAACCAAGAGCACGGAACAACGAAAAAAATTACTGCGATAAGTCTTTGGTCAAATATGTGCATCATTCTAAGTGGTCGAATATACACTTTTACAACAAAGTAGGCGGGTTATTGTTCCAGAAGCCACCTAGTATGTAACCCTGAAGTCGGGGTGACTTAGATATCCGTGTTGTATCCTGCTGCGAGAAAGACAAATTGCAGGAATATCAGAGTACTGAGTCTACCACTGAATGAAACCTGTATATCTGCTTCATATACGAGGTAAAATCAAACCAAGGTAATGACCAGCAAAGCAAATCAATCTAAATATAGCAACGGTAAGTTCTAGTTTCCACGACGAGCAGCATAAGAATAACTTGTCGATCTTCACACTGACACTATTTTGTATATGAGCAAGGTGTTAAGTATAAAACAAATACACTATCTTAGGATTATCGCCATAAAATAAGGATCTATTCCATTCAAAATTCGAAATGATTAAATAAATTTCTAGATAAAAGTAATTCAAAAGGATTATTTCGACAGTTTTTAAAGTAATTAATTTGCGATAACGCTATAGATCCCTTTACAATTCGATTGAACTTAATGCTGTTCACTGATTTCTGCAGATATATTGAAAGAGCTTACTATACGAATAGGAAAAAAGGATACATATCTTGTTTCTTCCAATAAGTCACCAACAGTATGTGCTGATTACTTCTGTTTGGTTTAAAAGTAGTGGTCTTAAAAGCCTGTGTAGTCGATCTGTCACGAGAGCTAATATAAAACAACCAACTAAATAATAAATTAAAATTGTTCATCTTTATTTATTTATTTATAGATTGTACTTTTCATCTTAAGGCAAAATATGTATTTAACACTATCTAGATTACAAGTTTCGAGGATCCATTCCTTAAAAGTTTACATGCATAACTGACATACAAATTTGTTGATAATATAAACAAATAGATAAATACATATATCATATAACATGGAATTGTATATTGCTACAAATGTCACCTGATTCATTTATAAGAAGAATAATGGGCATATGTACGAACAGTAGTAGAACATTTATTCTTGGAAGAGAAAATAAAAGCAGTTCCTATGTTAAACACCGATGATTAACCTCCCGACTAGATCACTGAACCATTGGGAACTTCACTATGTTTCCAGTCACCTTTCATGTGTTGATCTTGTTTATTTACTGGATTTAAAAGTTGACGAATAGGATTTGTATGAGGTAGATTACGTACAGATTTAGGTTTGTTATCAATCATTAAAATGAATACATCTGTACCATTGTTAATTGGCCGTTTAGCAACTGAGGTATCGTTATAATTTTGAAAAATCCTATTCATATTATTATCAGTATTGTCATTATTTGTACTAGTATTATTATCCATAGTGATATTACTATGGCTAAATAAATTATTTGAATAAATACTTGATTTGGTGATGACTATTCCATCCATTTGGTTTAAATGATTGCTTCGAAAATAAGGCAAAGCGTGATTACTGGCTGTGCGTTTTGATAACATGTGATCATTAATATTATTATTAGTAGTATATGGATATCTCTTATGCTTCTGCATAATATATCTATCTAAAGTACAATATGCCTCTGGATTATCTGATTCAATATCAGTAAAGTCTGTCTGACTGCCAATACTACGTCTCTTAGATAAGTATGATTTTTTGTAAGGATAATGATTATTTCGTCTATCAGAATATTGTTGATTGTTATGTTTATTTGACTGAAGGATGTTACATAAGGCACCATACGTGTTTGAATCGGTCGGTTTTGAATCTTTAAGACTTATAACACTGCAACGGCATTGTATAGTCCTGCCATTTATAGAAGGATTGTTTGTTATTTGTAAACTGCTCCACGAACTGCGTGTATCATTCATACCATTTCGAGTATTTTTACTACTGATAATAAGATTTGTCATATTGTCACTCGTGTATGGGAGTAATTCCTTTTTTTCACTGGTTACATATGTTTTAGGCTGTTGCGCAAAAAATCCACTAGAAACTGAATTAGAACTGATTTCTTCCATATCACCGTCATCATTATCGTCGTCATTACCATTAACTTCATCATCGTCAACCGGTGGATTCTGTTGACCACAAACATGGAACAAGCTAAATGGTGTTATCTGTGTAACCTTTGTTGATAATGGAATTTTAATAAAACGTTGTTTTACACAATATAGTACAATTAATATAACTACGATAAAACTAATTGTGATGATTGTGCACCATATTATTAATATAATTGAAAGGGACAGTGTATGTTTGCTTTCCGTTTGTATAAATGTCATTGTTTTTAATTGTTCAATAACGGAAATATTTAATAACGAGGATTCCGATCGTAATTCTGGTAACGATTGCTTATTTGAAACTGAATTCATTTCAGTTGAGTTGTCTTGATCAGTTTCAGTTAGATCAGATTGTCTTAAACAACCGATTCCATCTTTGATTAGTGGACAAGTATATGGAAATATCATACTTAACTTAAGTGAATTGTATTGTGATGTTGGCAGATCACGTTTGTTTGTAAATACTATAATAATTAAATTATCAGGTCTTGTTGGCGTTCTATCGTTCATATCATTACTGTTACTCACATCATTGTCATCAACTAGTGCACATTTATGACATTTTGTGTTTAAATTAAAAGTAATTGGTACTGTATTGTCTAGCGGGTTTAGACGAACAAACGCGGGTTTATTAATTTGTCCTGTTGGTTCTTCTACATCCGATTGAAAGTATTTTCCATCCTCCACATAATCATCTGATAAATATAACGGCGTTTGACCGCTCTCCATTTCAAATGATCGTAAATGCTGTAAGTCGATTAAGCTATCTGGATGCATATATACTGTATTCAACAAACGTAAATCAGTAATCAATCCACCCAAACCTTGAAAGCATCTTGCATCTAATCGAACCATATTTAAATTTAAATGAAATTCTAAATGACCACTGCGTGATAGCAATTTGCTCGTTGTCGGTGATGATGTTTGCAATAAATGACTCAATGCACCGGGTAAAATTCCTCGAACAGATTCTTTATGACCTAGAACAAGTTCGCCAGTTTCTGTATTTCGTTTGCAAGATATTATCTTTAATTTTGATGATTTCTTATCTTCTTCGTCTGAAGTACAATTGACCATATCCTGAGAATCATGTTCTATAAAGCATTTCATGGGACATTGACGAATGAGAAGAGAATTATAATTTGAATCCTTTGTGTCCAACGCATAATTGCTGATGAATTCATTATGAATATCTGAACTGTTTGCTATTAAACGTTCTGAGAAGTATTTGTTTGTTTGACAGAATTTTATGTTCAATATCATAAAGACGCAATTAAAACTATGCAGGATATGATTCATTTTATTAATTCTGAAATTACCCAATAGATATTAAAATTATTGCTTAGTTCTGTTTATCCAAGACGAATTTGTAAGCCTCCATATTTCCAAGCTTATTTTATAGATAAGTAATGAAAACGGTGTTAAGCAAGAGCAGTTGGCATTGTTTTTGTCATCGTGTTATTATAGCGAAGTAGACGGATCTGATGTATTTATAAGTACATAATTGCACAGGTGATTAGAGTTTAAATCACAATTGGTTGATACTTTTCGACCAATCACGTATTTGTAACCTTAAGGTGGACGACTGTTATTACAATGAAGCATAGAATTGGACAATTAATAATTTGCCAAAATTCGACAACAGAATGAATGTGAAGTTTTAAGTAATCCATAGTGTTTTTGAATAAGGAAAATGAAAGGAAGAATTTTCTTCATGAATATTGGCAGAAAGCTATTCAAGCAATTAAAAAAAACGTTCTGCAAATATAAGGAAAACAAAATCAAGTACTATAAAATAAAGTCCAATGTCATATCTGAACATTTTTAAAGCTGTAACTTAATCAAACACAAATCAGATACCATGATTCGATTACACAGTGCTAAAGAAACAACCAATACCCTGATTGAAGAAAAATAACATTTGAGAATAACGAATGGATATGAATCTCACTAAAAAAATCAACAATCATTAGGTCTTCACTAAAACTAAGATAACTCCTAACTTTGTTTGTATAAATCATGCTAGTTTTGATTTATAACAGTGAAATCCACAACGCCATGGTATATATATTAGACAGAATGTATTTCATCACGTTTTAAATGATGGAGTTAACTGAAGTTTTTTGTTATGAACAAATCCAATGTTGCATAACCAGAAATATCGAATGAAAAACACAAATATATCAAAAGCTTGCCTTCTGATTCAAATCACACATTAATTTGCTAAATACACTTCGAAAATAACTGAAAATGTCTTAAGTAAAACAAAATAAATGATTTGGAAAACGTTGTATATAACATTAGCCGTTAAAAATAGTCAAAATTCAAGAGAAATCATATAAACTGCTATGAATACCACTGCGGTCTTCATAAAATCTCTATGAGTAGTTGATACATTCTAATTGATACATCTAATTGCGTTTCAAGTCAGTGTTGAACATATCAATAAAACATAAAGTAAATAGGTTAACATGATATACTTTCTATACCCCTCCATATGTAAGTTTCTTACCCATCTCAAATTAATATATCAACACATTATCAATAGTTGTAAACGCAACAGACATCATCTCTGCTTTGCATTCCTTCCTCGTAAACTTTAGTGATTAGATCTGCTTACGTATTTGATTTCCTTCGTATTGTCTTGGAAACATATTTGCTATTAGACTCAAGTTGGAACTACATATATGACTTTTGGCTATGAAAATAAAATCGAATTCCTACCTTTAATTTCTAGAATATCTGTGGATTTCACTTTTACCTTTATGTTTGTTAACTTATTCAACATTCGAAGGTCTCATTCTGATTTGCATATATAATTATGTTATCTACCAACTGATAAATGTTAAACTCAAACTAATCATAGGTCTTTTGTTCCCATGTTTTCAATGTATCATCAGGTCTGAATGAAAATGAAGTATTTAGATTTTGCACTAGTGAAAAGTTGAAGTAACAAAAACTGAATTAAAATGAAAATGGAGTATGTTGCAAAAAGGTATCATTGCTAAGTTTTTATTTGATAATTTCGAATAAATTGAGAATTTGGGTAGATTGTTATAAAGAAATAATATATTTTTAATATCCCAGTGAGTAGAAAAATTAGATTGTCCGATGTTTCGTAACTTAGTGTAGGCCACTTCTTCAGACAATAAATTTACAAATTAAAATTAATCAAAATTTAATTTAAATAGTCCGTTTTACTATTCAAACTTGTATTACTTTTGATTTGGTTATTTATTCTCTGAAGGAGTGGTTTGTGTTGCAAACAATTATTTCACTAGTAATTTGTCAGATATTTATTTAACAAACAATAAAAAATTATGATTTAAGAAATAAAGATAAGTGAAAAATGATAAGAAGAATTTGAAGTTCTCGCTGACAACTGATTAGGCTTCTTAATCTACCTGATTCTGGATTTTGTGTCGTCAATTTTTGAAATTCTTTTTAGTTTATTTAAAAACTTCTGTATTTTGATCGACTATTCAATGAATGTGCCACTTACAAATTAGCTGACTTAACTTAATTCCAGCACTGTACTTTTGGTTTTAAAAACGGTTTAACTATCCAAATTACACTCTAGAAGTGGGTGTTTTATGTCAACTGCAATTTATCAGTAAATATATATTGCTTTCAAGTTATTCGTTTTTTTGAAATCATTCAAGCAGAATTAAGTTACCTTATTAGGACTTTAAGCAATACACACAAGGTTATATTTGACACAGAAATCCAGAACCTCATCCTTTAGGTCAATAATGTGATTAGAAATACAGGGTAATGATTGCGTTTTTCCACCGTAATGTTTTTAGTCACATCGCCTACTAAACATATCCTTTCTTCTTTAAGCTACCTTCTATTAGTACGGAGTAACTTTTATGTTTTATTGTTCCTAGTATTGAAATAATTCACTTCATCAACATCTCTATATTGTTAAATATTGTAGTAAATTGATATCACAACAAGAGATAAATATTTGATTTGTTTTACAATATTTTTGAATGCATAGATAACTCATTTAGTGCAAATGAACAGAGAATAGAAATCAGACACTTCGAAAATAGTGATAATTTATCTCTAAAAAGCAAATATATAATAATGCAGACCGATTTTTTTCAAAAGATGCAAAAACGCATTATTTAACAACCAGTTATATATGATACTGTATCATTCTTCTGACCAACATTTATTATCATAAATATGCATACATATACATCATACCATGTCAGAGGTACTAAAGAAAGCTAGCGAACCTTATGGGTCAAGTGCCTGTAGTAAAAGAATTCAAGTAGAACTACACAGGCTTCTCTTCTACAAAATAAATATCTTCAAATAGTCAGCACTGACAAACTAAAATGCATTTATTAGTCAATATTTAGTAAATTACATATTAAGTATAAGTCCATATAGTGCTTTATGGCGTGTTATTTCTTTTCCCCAAAAAATAATCGAAGTTAAGTTAGCAACTATCAGTTTTCACCTTTTTGAGTATTTTTGTTAATAGCTAACCATGAACTACAGAACTTACCTTTTGATATTTCGATATTGTTGACTGAATGAACCTGTCGTACAGTAAAAATTTCTACACTCATACACGAAATTAGCTTAGACAACTTGAAATGTCAAAGTATCATTCGTAAGGTTAATTAATCATGTCATTTGTTGGATTTTACAGATTAGATTTTGCATTCTTCTATCACTAATCAACATAAAAATGAAGACATTTAAGAGGTGTTTGTTCAAACCGCCTATGAACCAACAGTGACTGATCAATTTAGTCACGAATATCAATAAATCGAATGTGCAATCATGTATTATTAATAAAAGCTCTCAACAGTTTAATTTATTGAACAAACTGATATGATAAATATTGTTTGTTTTGATCTTCCCATTGATGTTTTTAAGACTGCAAATGGTCAGTCTCTAATTGGCATATGTTCATACTGTGCGTATTGTCTCCATATAGCCTTAATTCACAAGCATTATAAGCAAAGATGGATAGTGGCTAGCAGTGGAATCCAGGACGCGCGTTTCGTCCTATTTGGGACTCGTCAGCGTGATCTGCCTGCATCTCAGACTTGATGTTCACTCTGAGACTCAAACCCAGTACCTTTCGTTTCAAACGCCATCGCGTTATCCATTTATCTACTGAATCCTGATAGCCTGTAGTATCTGTGTTTATGTTAAGCCCATATACTTTATTCTAGCTTTTGGCCAAGCCAATTCACCTATACATTGAGTCATATTTTGATCTTATTCATTATTCGCTTATTAACCTTGACTATATTTTATATGAGCGTAATTGTGTGTACCCTTCGTATCCTATTCATCATATGTCTGTCATTCATTTTTGTCTGATTATAAATATTGAGTAATGCTTGCTTATAGCGAGTTGGCTTCTCCGCCAATCTCCAACACGCATTATTCTTGCTTCACTCTCGAGTTGGCTTCCCAGCCATCTCCACTATACATCATCTCTGCTTCGCTCGCTTACACTTGCTCATGTACTCACGGCTTTCTGGTCTTCATCACTCATCAATAAAGATGTAGTTGCCGCTTCCTTTTGCCTTCTGATATTATACACCGTTAGGATTGGTATAATAACGGTTATCGAAGTGAACTATTATTGAAGCACGGCACTACAAGTCAATTGTTTGTGCAACGGGATGAAGTTTAAGTTAACTTGGTTTTGTTTGTTTGAATCCTCCCATCTTTGCTTATAATGCTTATAATAAATCGAACATGCAATCATGTACTATTAATAAAAGCTTTTAACAGTTTAATTTATTGAACAAACTGATATGATATATATTTAATTTTGATACTATATCAGACTAGGTTTTACAAAATCTATTAAATAACTTTTAAATTATTTTGAATTTTTCCTGCAACATAAGGTTCCACTTAGCTATAAAAATATTATACATATATATATATATATATATATATATTGTGAAGTATGCTGACGTCAATTAACATTGTTTCGTTTCTTAAAATCATAACTATATTAAAAGATCTTTATCATAACGTGGCTATTGGCTACATATTTACTTAAGTCAATTATTGGGAATAAATTTTTTATTCCCGCGGACGTAGTTTTGAAATTTATGCAAACTCATTGAGACGTCTTCATACGCTCTACCACAACCACCGTTAGTGATTAATCACTATTCCTTAATATAACATGAAATCACACAATATTTTGAGTAAATAAATAAATTTTATGTGTATAATACAAAGTCGTTTTTCAACATATGGATTGCATTTTAATTGATAATTTGTAATTTGGTAACTTAGATATCTGAAGTTTTTATCCAACTGGAAATGTGGACATGTGCTCTATGGATCTTTGATTAGTATCTTCATTTTAATCAGAATGTATTCCTATCTCACTTGTAAAACAAATTCGATAATACAGATTCATGTGGGAATTTTAACTGAAAAGAAATACTTTTCGTTCTTCTAACAAGTTTACAACATGAGAATCTGTTTAAGTAGTATTATTAAGTGAATTCTGTAGAATCATGCTAACCGTGTGTTTTATTTCGTGTATGATTTTCATCATCATTACATACAAGTTTATTGTACTTTCATACAATATCAGACACATTTATTCCTAAAAACATTGTCTAAACATTGACTGCCACGAAACTCAGCACTTACACAATTTAATTACCAGGATAATATTTAAGAAATCTAACCCAAAATAAAATGTGTGATGTATTTAATAACACTATCAAAGTGAAGTTATTAGATCGGTTAACTGGCGATGAAAACATCTGAAAAATATGT